TGCAATGCGGAAGCTCGTCCTATTAGAACCACAGTTCCAAAATTTCATGCACTTAATATTTCAAAGTCCAAGAAAAAATTATATAAATATAGAAGATGCACTCATAAACATTAGGGCAGTCGTAGTCATGACCATTTCTATCTATATGGAAAGAATAAATATTCTACTATTAATTATAGTAAAAAAAAAATCAAAGATGTGTTCTTGCTATTAGTGTGGAATGATTGGACATTTAGCCTATGCGTGCTGTACTTCTAAATATTTTATTAAAATATTTCAAAAAAATCAAAAACTATGAGTTGAGGCTCGTGAAATTCATACTATGAATGCGTCCATAGATTCAATTGGTGTTGATGACTTAGATGCTTATATGAATGACAAAACCTCTAATAATGAATCAAATGATGCATTCATTGATTTTGTAACAATACATATTATCTTACAGTATAGATGATTTTTTATTGAAAAATCTTCAACTTGACAAACTAAAAATATGATGACTATGGCTGGAGAAAATGCGTTTTGTTTCCAAGAGGGCTTAGCAATGGTAAAATTACGTGCAAGTTCCAACATAAAATGTAAACATGCGATGTATGCATCGTCAGCACCCCAAAGTCTGATCAGCTACCGAGATATGCATATCAATGGCTATCACCTCTTGATTGCTATTTTAAATAGAAAAGAGGTTTTGATTCTTGCGAAGAATCGTAAAGTTGTTAAAAAAGCTTTTGCTACAAAAAATGGTTTATACCCAATTACGATTTGACCTCCCATTGTATTTAATTTTTCATCATCTATCATAGAGAGTCGTGCTTCTCTCTTACATGCATAATTGAGACATTCAGGATCTACATTATTTAAAAAGATCATTCCATGTATAACTGGACTTAATTTAAAACTTGTGGATGTAGACTCTAAGAAATTATGTCGTGCATGCATACAAGGTAAGATAATTACTCGGCCTTCAATTTGAAAACTCCTATAAGAATTACCATCGATGCTTGAAAGATTGCATGGTGATATTTGTAGTCCTATTAATCCAATATTGAGACCATTTCATTATTTTTTATTCTTATCGATACATCAGATGAATAATCATATGTTTCATTATTATTAACTCGAAACATGGTGTTTTCCAATCTTATATCTATGCTTATTCATTTTTGGGCACATTTTCTTGATTATCCTATAAAAACATTGCGTATGGATAATGCAAAAGAATTTGCATCAAAGTCTTTTGAAGACTATTGTATTACAATAAAAATTGAATTGACATATTATATTCCATATGAACATGCTAAAAATGGACTTATAGAGTTATTTATAAAGCGATACAACTCATTACCTAGCCACTATTCTTTCACACAAATTTACCTGCATCTATATAGGATCATGCAGTTTTACATGTTGTAGCATTAATATGCCTCTGACCTTCTTTTCTTGAAATTGTTTCACCACATGAGCTTATTTTGGATCATATTTCAAATGTATTTTACTTACAAGTATCTTGGTTTCCGTGCTTAGATTCCACTACTAGAACCTCAATAGCGTATCATTGGAGCTCATCGACAAGAAGGCATATATGTTGGTTTTGATTCACCAAGCATTATTCATATTATTGATCCATCAACTCGTACATTATTACGTGCACATTTGCAAAATTGTTGTTTTGAAGAGAATGTATTCTCATCTCTTCAAAGAGAGATATCCAATCAACAAAGAAATAAAGTACTTATATTTGAAGCACCAAAAACATTTACAATGAATCTCGATCCTATGACATCTTTGACTGAAACTCAAGTTGCTAAGATTTTGCATCTAAAACGGATTGTAGATGAAACACCTGATCACTTCAATGATGCACCTAGAATTATAAGAGTTCTTGTTAATGAGGCTCAAAATGATCCTACTCGGAGTGGAGTGCCATTGACTATAATACCTCAAGTTATAACAACAACAACTAAAAGAACTCGTGGATCAAATAAGCAACCACATAAGAAGAAAGTTATAATATTGACTAATCTTGGTATTATTTCTCAAGAAATTGCCACTGATCTTATGGGACCACCAATTCATGATAATATATCCATGCATAATGTACCTTCAATACCTATGAAAAACAATCTTGGAATTGAAAGGAATAAGAATAAGTTGAGTAAAGAATTATCTATTTTGTATTGTGCTACAGATGATATTTGGGATAGACCATCTATTACGGTAGATGAATCATTTGCATGTATGATTATAGAAGTCCTTTCTTATGAGGAAGAAGATCCTGAACCTCAAACCATCAAGGAAGCGATGCATCGCTTTGATTGGCTAAAATATAAAAAAAAAAAAAAAAAAAAAAAAAAAACTGCTATTGAAGAGGAGTATGCTTCTTTGCGTAAGAAGAAAGTCTTTGGTTCAATTGTAGACACTCTTATATCTCGCCCTATGGAATATAAGATGGTATTAATATGTAAGCGAGATGCTCAAGATCAAATAATCTACTATAAAACTTGTCTTGTTGCTCAAGGATTTACTCAATGATTTGGCATTGTTTATGAATCTACATATTCTCCGGTCATGGATTCAATTACATTTTGATATATTATTGGAATGGCAGTTCATGCCACCCTTGAGATGCATCTAATGGATGTAATAACTGCATATCTATATAGTTCTCTTGATGCAAATATTTGTATGAAAGTTTTATCTAGCTTAGAAACATGAACTCCAAATAGACCTGCTGTAAGATAATATCATAGTATTAAATTATATAAGGCCTTGTATGATTAAAAATAATCCAAACGCATGTGGTATCACCATCTTCGAGATTATTTAATTACACATAAGTTTATAAGTAATCTACTAATCCCTTATTTGTTTATTAAACGAGATAAAACTAGTTTTGTGATCATCACTATATATGTTGATGATCTTAACCTAGTGGGTACTACATCTACATGTGTTGCAGCCACTAACCTACTTATACGTGAATTTGAGATGAAAATATTAGAAAAAATAACTTTTTGCATTGGTCTTCAAATTATGCATCTCATAGATGGTAGCATTTTTTCTACTAACTAACATATATTAGACAAATCTTGCAGAGATTCAATATGATTAATGCTTATCCATTGTCCACACCAATGGTTGAACATGGTCGTGATAGTCATGATTCATACCATCCATGCGAGGAAGATGAGGAAATATTAGGAGATCAATATCCATACTTCATAGCACTTGGAACACTTTTATATTTGGCTACATTTATAAGATTAGATATTGCATTTGTACTTAGTGTTCTTACAAGACATAATGCATGTCCAACACTACGACATTGGAATGACATCAAATATTTATTACGTTATTTAAAAGGTATTGAAGACTTGGGATTACACTACAGACAATTTGCAAATCCAAAATTGGTTCGATATTGTGATGCGAGATATAAATCTAATACTGCAACATCTAAATCTCAAATAGGATATGTATTTTTAAGACATGGAGCTGCAATATCATGGAAATCAATGAAACAAATAATAACTGCAACTTCATCTAACCATGCAGAAATTATTGCCTTACATGAAGCATCTCGAGAATGTATTTGGTTGCAATCAATTGATAAATTTATTCAAATAACCTGTGGATTTTCATATAATGATTCTCCAACTATCTTGCATGAAGAGAATAGTCCTTGTATTACACAGATGCAAGTTGATTTCATTAAAGGCAACAGGACAAAGCATATTGATCCAAAGTATTTTAATTATATCCATGACTTGATTACTGATCAAGCACTTATAATTAAGAAAATTGAATCTGCAAATAACCTTGTTGATCTCTTCACCAAAGCTCTTCCATTGTGCAACCATCGTCGACTTACTAATGGCATTGGTATGCAGCGACTTGTTTTTCTTGAATAAGAAAGTTAATGAACTCTTTAAATAATCAAAGAAAATGATGTTATATTCTTTTCCCTTCATCTATGGTTTTGCCCTTAAATACAATAAGATTTTTCTAGATAAGGTTTTAATGAAGCAACAATTGTTGATCTTGTGAGATTACAAAAAAGTATAGATCATAATTCCATACAAATTTTATATTATATAAATATTATGATGAATGAGGAGGAGTATTGAGAGCATTAAATGTAGTTGGCTCTCTCCATAATATTTTTTGTAGTCTACAGTAAATAGTATAGCTACAATATTTGGAATGAGGTGGAGAAGAACTATTTATCTTCTCCCCTTCTCCTACATACATGACATAACCAGATCAATAGACTTAAGTGTGAAGCTCTCTTTCCTTGGAAACTCTCTTGTGTGTGTATTACTTACTTTGTGTCTTTAGAAACATTCTCAACACTATCAGTTATCCATAGCTCTTGGTGTGACTATTTTTGCAGACACAGCCCCACGCTGCCACCTCCTAAGCCTCACCGTCTCTTATGGTTCACTTAAAAAGGCCGCTCTCTCGCCTAGATTTAAAGAAATATGGTGCCACAACCAAGTCTTTGTACCAGCAATTTATTATCTCCCAAGTGGAGCATCTCGCCTAGATGAGACGACCTGATAACCCCATGAGGGACCAGGTCGAACCTGTACTATTTCTCTTTAACTTAACACCGCTTTTTCAAAAAATAAAATAAAATAACGATGCATTTGCTGATGTACTCACGACATGAATGCCTCGACCTGAGGGGCTCATCCACACAACCTGCCAGATTGTCGCACGTAGCAAAGGCAAAAAAGTGTCATGTATGTCAGCAAGGCACCATGTATCAAAGAATGGTTGATACTTGTGCACAGACCAAGACTAAACTGCACAAAAGCCAGAACACCCACAACACGAGATGCTCTTTCGGTCACAGATGACAACAGCCGATTATGAACATCAATCTGTAATAGAAGCAACAGATCTTTTGACATGCAGATGTTAGAAACCACACATTGCAAACTGAATGCACAGTTCTAAGAAATATCCTTTTCAGAAACCATGGTCTACAATCACCATTCACAGGAAAACCGAGTCATAAAATTCACCTTGAAAAGCAAAAGGGGTGCAGTTTTCACTAAACCCCTTGGTAACAAGCCTTGAACCTCTACATGAACTAACTGACTTTGCGGGAATGCTCACCTTATCCCAACCCAGCTGCTAAAACCCTACTGCAAACCAGGGGTTATGCGTTGGACGGAAGCTAAGCGACAAAGCTGATGCTTTGACAAATCTCTTAAAATTGAAGTACCTCCCCACTAAACCCTACACCGTATCTCTCTGAGCCTGCTACATTTCACGCTTTGACACCGAGAAGCTACCAATGAATCTCGGGGCACTCCCGTAGGGACCAAATCCATACAAATAAACAACATCGAGAGCTACAAATCACTAACTGGATCAACCCTGCCATCAATTATAAACAACTATGTGGCAATAGGTGGATGGCTGATTCCTCCTGTACATAAACTGACGCAAAGCTTAATTAAAAAGAATTGAGGACCTCCTACTTGAGTTGGAGCACGAAGCCAAGAGAGGCAGAATTTCTCCTATCCACGAATGCTGCACTTATCACAAAATTGGTCCTGATAGCAGTTAGATCAGCACAAACAAACTGAAACCTTGACATGCAAGGTTAAGAAAGTTGCTCACACACGTGCCCTATTGACACTGCTGTGTTAGGTTTCCAACGTGAAGCCAAAAAGGAAAAGCGTTCATCGCCTATGTCTCCGCGTAGTCATTTGCGGTACCTCGTTGCCCTTCCGCATCATGGCAACAAACTCATCGTAATCAATCCTTCCATCATTGTCTGTGTCCACCTCCCTGATTATCTCATTGATCGTCTCAGGATCACCCATTCCATTTTTCGCCATGGCCTCCTGCAGCTCCTCAACGGTAATATAACCACTACCGTCTGTGTCAAAGTGCTGGAACGCTTCAGCCAGATGGTCCTCCTTCTCCACCTTGTTCATGTGCATAGTGGCTGAAATAAACTCACTGAAGTCAATTTTCCCGTTGCCATCAACATCCGCTGCTTCCATCAGCTTCTTCACATCAGATTCCACAAGCTTAGAGCCCTGTCTGTGCAGACCTTCTTTCAACTCGTCAAACGTGATAGTACCACTGTTGTCGGTATCCATGGCCTTGAACATCTCCTTCAACCCCATGATTTCATCTTCAGACAAACTCTGGGCTATGACTTGCAGCGCCAACTTCTTCATCTTGTTAGCAGACGAGAAGTTCTTCAACCTCGTCAATACTGCATTGTCAAGTGGCTCGTCAGGCGCATCGCCATCTTCCTTCATCCATGGATGTTTCAAAACCTCTTGAGCTGTCAGTCGCTCCTTAGGGTCCTGTTTCAGCATTTTACTCACGAGGTCCTTTGCTGCGGCTGAGACTTTCGGCCAGGGGTCGCTTTTGAAATCAATATATCCCTTCAACACCGCATCGAAGATGCCCTGCTCCGACTCCGCCCAGAATGGCGGCACTCCGCACAGAAGGATGTAGACGATCACACCAGCGCTCCAAACATCGGCCTCGGGGCCATAGTTTCGACGCAAAACCTCAGGGGCGACATAATAAGCACTTCCCACAATCTCGTGAAAGACTTCTCCAGGCTTGAAAAATACAGAGAGTCCAAAGTCAGTGGCCTTCAAAGATGAGTTCTCGGCCTTATTAGCCAACAAAAAATTCTCGGGCTTCAGGTCCCGATGGAAAACATTCAAAGAGTGGCACCGATGGACAACCGAAACAATCGTCCTACACAAGGCCGCCGCAGCTCGTTCGCTGTAATGCCCCTTGGCGATGATACGATCAAAGAGCTCTCCGCCTGCACACAGCTCCATCACAATATGCACGTGATGCTTATCTTCAAAAACCCCTTTCAATTCCACCACGTTCGGCGTTCCAGATAGATGGTGCATAATTTGCACTTCCCGCCTCACATCCTCGATATCTTCCTTCGATATAAGCTTCCGCTTGGCTATCGATTTGCACGCCAAGTGCTCCCCAGTCTTAATATTCGTACACGCGTACGTCACGCCGAATTGCCCTCGCCCAAGCTCCTTTCCTAGCGTGTACACACTCCGCACATCCGATAGCGGTTTCCCGAGTACTGTCCCCGCAGCCACATTAACCGGCCGGGGCTTCGGCATCGTCACAGGCGGTGCGGTCCTCGTTGTAGTAGTCTCCACTCCCCTCTCTTGCACATTCTGTTGACGATAGTGCTGCTGATTTTGCCCCTGCCCATGGCCTACTCCCCGCACACCCCCATCTCTTCCATGCCCGACGTGGTGATGCGCCTTTTCCTGTTTGTAAGGCCCGCCAATCGCCCCGACACATTGATTCCCCATCGCCACTCGTCTCCTACTTCCCACACCTTCCCTACTGCTTTTGCATCCCGACGCTTCACAAAACCGTCGCTGCTGAAATCGCCCCAACAATCCACAACAACACCAACTACTACCACAACTACAACAACAACAACAAAAATGCGGACAAAAAACAGTGCGGTCCACACAGAATTGAAGTCTGGCGAACGAGCACGCAGTAACCTCAATCTGAGTAACCCTGCCGTGTAGGCAAAGGCGAGGGAGAAGCTGCGGGGAGGCGAGGGTCGTCGCCTTTGCACGCGTGACCCGAGGCGACGATCTTCGTCGTCGTCATCGACGTCCAACGAAAACTTTCTCTTCTTCGCTCCTCAACCTCCGTCACGCAGTCAGAGAATGATCGTCAATCGTCTTTCATTTATGTTCGTTGTTTTCGTCTGTCCTCGATCGTCCCCCTCGCGCTTCACCGGCTAGATCGGCCTCCGAAACCGACGAAACTGCGTCGACATAGACGGAAAGATGGTGGACGATCGTTGGAGGAATTGACGGATGAACTGGAAGTTGGCATGCCGCGTGGCTCTTGTAGAGAAGATTTAGGTCTGCGATGGCGGTTTTCCACGTAGGAAACGAGTTTGAATGCTAATTTTGAATTTTGATCTATGGGACAAGTCGGGATGGATGTATGAACGTCTTTACGGATTATTGGATGAATGAATAAAGATAGACCCACTTGGGCTCCGATTATTTTGCCACTACAATTTTACCTTAAAATTTGCAACCAAGGCTGTTTTATATATTTTATTTTATTTGTTGTTGTGTGAGCGTACATTCATTGAAGATGGATTAGGACAACTATTACCAGACTATACTAATAGCAGAATAGTAAATGAAGCATTGCTGAATGAGCGAATGATAAGACTGGACAACATTGACTTATTTGTGGAAGAGAGAATAGTGGAGATTGTTCTGGGGGAATAAATTACATAAATCATTCGTGGTGCACTTTTCTTAAGGTTTAAGAATTTGTCAAGACATTACATTTTGCAAGACCTTGAGACCCTGGCAAAATATATGTTAAAAATTTAGCAACAATGGGCATTTCACCCTCTGTGTTGCCCATGTCATGTTTTTTAAACTGAAAAAGTTCATTCTATATTGAGGGTTTAGGGTACTTGTTGTGAAAAATGTGTGCTAAAACCATAATTTATTTTTGACAAGAGCTAAATAATGTTGAGTATGTTATTGCATGTTTTGTGATATGATTTGGTTTTTTATATATTTATCTACTTAGGCATGAGCAATAGCCCCAGATATGCATACTTGTGTCTATGCATATGTAAATACTTCTTCTATTCTTTTCTCCTTGTCTTTATGCATTACTTCTTCAAAACTGCGAAGAACATGGGCATGCACTGATGTTAAAAATTAATCTTTCTCTACATTTAACATCCAGTAAAAATCATTTTCAAAAAGATGACATTTTCGACTATAATTACATATAATTTATTGGCATCCATATTTGATATGCACATAAATTATTTTTTAAGATTCATACAATGATTCAACAAATATAAATAAATATTCAGGATAAAATAAATAATAAGAATGACAATAGAAATCATTAATTTTATTAAAATTATATTTTTTTATTATATTGTAGAAACTAAGAATGCTTCAAATTATTATTGTTATATACATAGATAGAGATATAAGTATATAAATGAATAGTTGTAATTAAAATAAAACCAACGAAAAATATGCCATTTTGTTTACATGTGTACATGCATTTATTAGATTTGAAGTTTACATTGCATCAAGTTTGAAATTGCACACACTCTACTTAGAATTTTATAGAAATAAAGTCTGTTTAAAGATACTTTTAAATGAATAAAGAGGATATATCAAAATCAAAACCTAAAAATTAAGGTATTTCTTACTTTGTAAAATTGTTGGACTATTATTTTGTCGTGGTGTGGGTTGATACATCTAAAGATGCTATTTTGTTGTATTGTAAATCTCATTGCAGGATTCAAACTCATCATTTGTGAAACTATTAATGCAATAAAGTAAATTTGGAACTAAAATACTACAAGCACTTTTGTAGATACTTAAGAATAAAAAAACAAATGGGAGTTCTTATTGTTTTATTGCTACTTAGATTGTCAATTCAAGATCAAATATTTTTAAATAATTACATTTTTTGATATTATAATAAATACTAAATAAGTGGCTAAGGCATTAGACATTATTCCAATCTATACTAAGAATAATAAAACTAATAAATGTGGGCTTATTTTTATTCTTAATGGTTTAAAGTCTTTGAGATTTTTCAAAGCATTGGATCTTTCAAAGCAAAAAAAGATCCAATGCTTAAGTACATCTTTTAGAGGTGCTTGCAACTTATAAAGATGGTTATATCACAAATATAAAAATTTGAATTTCCAAGTACTATTTTGAAGTCTTGCTGCATCTATATGCACACATATATAGAATAAATTTCTTTAATTTAAAAGCTAGTTTAGGCAAATATTATTAAGATTTGTTTTTAGGCGAATTTCAGTGAGTTCAAAATGCAATTCATATACTTTGAGAAGCTTAAATCTTTTTTTCTATTCACTTACTATATGCTTTGTAATATGTTAGATAGAAGATGGTACAACAGCAGCCTCTATTTCTTGTTAAAGTTTTAAGCAATATTTCATTTGCTTACGACTTTAGCAAGAAATATATTAAAGACTTAAGAAAACATAAAAATAATCAAGGCTTAAATTTTAAAAATATATATATATATATATATATATATATATAATTATATGTAATTATACTAAAATTAAAAATTTTATGACTTTAAAATATAATTAATTAAATTATTAAAATTAAAAAGATTAAAGATTTAAAAAATCAAATGAAACATTGAGATAAGGTAATATTTTGGTAATATAGTCTTTTCGATACATATATATATATATATATATATATATATATATTCAAAATTTATTAAACCTACTACTAATGAAGATAAATTGGAAAATTTAGAATTTAGAATTATAAAAATAAATGTATTAAGAACATAACATGCTCTCATGTTGCAAATTGAAAGATTTTAAATAATAGTTGATAAACATGTTGCACACTGAATATAAGTATTTTTGTATTTATTTCAAAGTCATATATATATATATATATATATATATATGACTGAATAAAGTCTTATAGAACTTTAGAATTACCATCTCTCAAAGAAACTATATTCTTTCAAGGTAGGATTTTGTAAATATTTTATGTTTAGAAATCATAGCAAAGTAAACTTTAATATTTTTATTCATTGTATTGAAGGTATGCAAGACTATATACATTTTTATATATTGGATTATAGATCAATTGCTTCAAATACTACATCACTACATTTTTATTTTATTTTTTGAAAATTATTTTTTAAGAAATATGTGTGTATATATAATATTAGAGGTTTTATTTATTTTTAAAGATAAAAAACTACAAAAGAGAGTATATATCAAGAAAGTTGATAAAACTTGCATGTACAGAGTAATTATTCATTGTTTTACTACCTCAAAAATTCCTCAACAAAATATAGTAGCAAAAAGGTCGAATTGCAAGTTTATGATAGTTTAAAAATGAATGAATTAATGTTTATGAATCCTTACATGGTGTTAAAGAAGACCTTAGATCCTACTACATTTGAGATAGTTAATGAAATTGAATTAATCCAAATATTATAGAAGTTGCAAAGAATGAAAAATATTTCTAACAAATTTGGCTATTTAAGTCCAATATCATTTTCTCAAATTATAAAAAATGGTATGTATTTTATATTTTAAAAAATTATAAGTAACAAAATTTATTACAAATAGAATAAAATAATAAATAAATCCATAGGAAATATTTATAAGAACCAAAAATTAAATTTAGCAATTATTTTTATAAAAATAAATAAAATTGAAAAATTGAAAAATAAGATATAAAACAAAATTGGTAGCAAAAAGATGTTTTTTAACAATTCTTATCAATTTTAAGGTAACATCATTTTTATGGTCAAGATTACTTCTATTTGTATTTTTTTTGGAAATAATTGAATAACATGATTTAGAATTTAAGCAATTATATGTTATTACTATTTTTCACATAAAAATTTATTTGGAAAGAATCTGCATGCATTAGGCTGAAAGATTTGGAAGACAGGATAGAAAACCTTGTATGGATTAAAGAAATGTTCCATGCAATGATTTAAGCTATCGAATGCCGCCATGATGAAATAAAGATTAAAAGAATTTTAAGAGAATTTTAAATATTGATATCCTAGAGATTAAAGAAAGTACATGCTTTTGATATAGGAAGGGAGATACATTAAAAAATCAATAATGTGTTTTGCCATAAAAAAAGGAAAATAAATAAATATCTTTTTACCATTTCACTTGAACTTAACTTATTAATTTTATCCTAGTAATGAAGATAAAATTAAAGAAACGTCTTATATTTTATAGGTTCAAGTGTATTAAACAATCTCAAGTATGTAATGATGTATCCGAGACTATATATCTTCTATGATGTAATTGTTATTAGTAGATATATGAAAGTTATACGGAAAATAACTTTGAGAAGAAATGAAATAGAAGCTTTGCTACTTGAAAGATAATATAGAATTTTGCATCATATTTGATAGAAAACATAAGAAAGAAAGAAACATCACGAGATTTATTTTTGCAAAATTTGTTAAAGACTTGGATAAGAAAAAACCTACTATAAATTTTGTTTTTTCAATGGTTGAGAAATCTTTAAATTAGAAGTCTACTTTAGAGCCTACTAAAATTCTTCAAACAACTAAAATAAAGTATATAGTTGTTACAAAAGGTATCAAAGCAAAAGTATAGTTGAAAAGAATAACCTTTTATTTTGGTTTGTTACAAGATCAAACTTTATTATATTGTGATATACAAAGTGCTATATATCTAGTCAATGATTTTCAAATTTATTATGGTTTATAATTATTAATAATATTTATTTATAATGATAAAATACAAAATTAATAAAAAAAATTAAAAACTTATATATATATATATATATATATATATATATACATAAGATTAAATATAAGAAAATTTAAGGAATGTATTTTTTTTTTACATATTAAAATTGTAGGTAATATATTATAAGTATTTTAAGATTCCATAAAAATAATATAGTTTTACTATCTTTAAAATATATTTATAATAATAATAATAATAATAATAACTTTTAAATATCTATA